CCTGTAAGTTCACTATACACGCCACTTATTTTATGGCCCCAGCTGCCCTTTCAGAGTACTGCTCAGCAAAGTTGCTGGAGAAAGTTAGGGGGAAGCCATAAACCATCCCTGACAGCTCAGCCTGGCTCAGGCCTCGGAGGACAGAGGAGCAATATGAAACTGCCTGCCTTCACCTTGTTATGCTGCAACACACAGAATCCCCCATTAGAGATGTGGAGAGCATGCTCTCATATTAGCCAAAGGCAACTTTCTCCTTAGATCCCTCTGAAGGATCAAGAGTTCGTTTAAGAATAGACATCACTGGCAGACGGTGTTTCAAAGGGAGCTGCTGACCCTCTCCCTCGTGAGCATGTGCAGCTTCAGAAACAGCTGGAACAGACGGCTCTGAGCTGCTGTATGCTTTGCAGCACTCCATGTTTCCAGCCCTCCATCAGTAAGTATTGTCCTATAAGTATTGTCCACTCATAAGAACAATTTCTACTCTTTCTTCTCTAAAATAATACAGTAAAAAGTTTACTAAGATGTACTCTTGTACATCTCAAAATCAACAGGCCTACAAGGTCATCTTCAGGTTGTAATATGCCTGTTCAGCAATGAAATTACATCACTCAATTCTAAATCACAGGTTGTCAATACCCTAGTGTAATTTGCCCAAAGCCAACTGGCTTTTTAAACCTGTAATACCCTAAGTTCAAGATGACCACCAGGGAAAGAATCTGATTTTCCATTTGTGGTTTCCTAAGACACCTTTTGTGTCCCCAGTACAAGAATTTGAAAACTTCAGAGAAAATATACTTACCTAAAGTAGATACACAGTGCGTAATGTTTTAGGCACAAAGGAGAACAGTTGTCTAAAAGTCATATACACTGGAACTTGTTCTCCCAAATAAGCCAGTATATGTATGATTAACTTAATTTTTTTTTAATCAGACTTTACTACTGGTACCATTACCCTTTTGTGAAATCTAATAATCTGGAAATTATTTTCAGAACCCTGGACATAAAGGGCATGTATAAAAGCATATAATACTCCATTAAATCTTCTTTATATTTACTTCTTAAATGAAAATCAGTAAGATGAGTATTTATTCAGCTGGTTACATTGGGGTTATTGTTTTATGCTTTTAAAGAGATACGTATAATGAAGTGATTGTTCAGTAAAAACTACTGGATTTTTCAGTCTCAGGTCTGCCAATGCTATTGAAGCTTGAGAGCATCAAATGTAGCATTTCTGAGAAGGGTGTTTTTGGCAATAAAAAATATGGAGTTATAATATTCAAAAGAATAACTATGAGTCATTGTAATGAATAACTGAAGAACTTACAGCTTTTAGTATGTATGTAATGAGACTTCAGCAATCAGTTTCTAGGTTAAGAACATTTTCCATTCATTTACATTTTGTTTTTAATGGAATCAGAGATTAGTGGTGACATTTTGGGGTCTCCTGAATCAGTTTGTGAGGTCTCAGAAGTACCTTTTAAGGTCACTTCACCATAGAGATAGTAAAGACTGTAGATTTGAAGCTTGCAATGGACCAGAGTTCTCCGCAGATTTGCAAATACTTCCAAGTGTCAGACCGTGGGTGTTTGCACTCACTGAAGCAGGGTCTCGTACAGGTTTGTGGGTCCTTCTATTGCATTTCAACAAAAGGATTTTGCATACTTATGCACTATCAAGATAAGAGTCCATGTCCGTTTTGCAATGAACATGCCAAGAATTCTTCATTTGATCACATTTCTCTCTTACCCTTCCCCTCTCCATCGATTATTAGAACAGACTTAATTCTCCTTCTTTTTAGCGAGTCTCTGTGAATCTGATCCTTATCTTTCAGATACAATAGCGTAAATAAGAGACAGATGCAGACAACAAGCAAGCAAGGAGGATCACATATCAATAAAACAACGTGCTATGAAGAGACAATATACTCCTTTGGGAAGGAGGAATGCTTTTTGGCATGCATTTCTATAGCATCTAGTTCAATTAAGTCCTTTCCTAGAACATGTTAGAGCAATGGAGATAAGTACTTAGATTCCAAGCAAAAAAAGCATTTGCATATAAGTTCAAATCCTTTCTGTGCTGGACCCAGAAAGGTCCCCAACTGAGTTTCAGCTTTAGGGACCATTAGATGCCTTGTAGAACTCAAAAGAGACACTGTGACCACAGTCCAGAGGTCAAAATGTTGAGAGGAAACAGCCTATAAACAACTCACAGCAAGTAGAATATGACTGACAACCTCAGGTGAAAAAAAAGAGAGGCTGGTATCATAGAAAGTTGAAGGAGTAAGAGGGGTGAAAGAAAAAAAAAAGATCAGAATACAGAAACAAGAGGGATTGAGAATTGCTCAGTGCTGTTAGTGCACAGAAATTTAAATTTGATGCCAAGAAGAGAAAGCTGAGAGGTTCAAAGAACAGGGAATAAGGAGGAGGCATTAAGAAAGATGATCAAATGCTCCCCTGTATCCTAAAGTGTCACTACTGAACTCTTCCCTTATCCTCACCCACAATTCTTCCACTTTTTTGGAAGTGGAAGGGAAAACAGCTTGTTATTTCTGTTCCCTTCTTCAGCCCAGTCAGGACAACAGATCATCCAAGGAAAGAGGCCAAAAAAACACACATTTGATTTGTATGTGCTTCTTTCATGGAGATCAAGCACAAGGGTTGGAAAAGGGACTCTCGAATAATATGGTGAGCATCCTCCAAATGCAAATGGAAACAGTGCTATTTGTTGTACACAGCACTGGTAAACACAAGCTATTACTACGTTTTACTACATATTACTACATTACTGACATTAATGCTACAGCCTTGGACTCGGAACAGGATTATACTAGTATCCTACTGGTTTACGGATTCCTGATCAACTAGCACGCTAACTCAGCCTGAAGGACTAATTTATGACTGATAGTTTCTCTTCGTTAGTATGTGGCTTTGTTAAAGTAGTATCCCACAACCACACACAAACGCTGGTTCATTACAGCTTGACAACAGTGAAGCAAACCTGAGAAGAGGACATCTGACAGCTTACATACTGTGACTGTTTTAACTGCATATGGCACATCTGTATATGGCTGCAGACAAGCTTCACTGTACCTATAAACAAGCTGTATCACATCAGAGCTGTGCTTTTTACTACTACACTTCAAAGGCCAGACTGTAGACCAGCATCTGCTAAACTACTCACTGTCAAGGTTTCACCCCACAATCCAAAATAAAATGTTTGAGACGGGAGGACATTTGGACACTTACCCTATAGCCAAACCATTTTGATCATTTTTAAGAGCCTAGTCTTATGACATGTGGGTTAAAACTCTGCTTTGTGGGTCATTCCCATGAGAAAGAGATTTTTCATGAGGATCCAATATCAGATGATGGAAAGGCATGGGCAGTGAGCCTAGTCATCATTCAGCTCTCGAGTTAAAGAACAGGAAATAACCAAATTGAACAACATCCAAAAATAAATAACGCAGGTAATAAGTGAATAACTACCGATACTCCATGCCAAAGTCAGTCAAATTATGATTGCTGAACTATGCCTCCATGCTTTAACTGGTACATGTGTTAACAAGAACTGCACTTTTACTGTTCCTGCCAATAAATGCATCATTTATTAACACAGCTAAAAATATTAACCCCATAAACGGCATGGTTCAGTAAATGAAAACATCCTGTCGTCAACAAGTAAAGTAAATTTCTGAAACTTCTGCCTAAAAAAGGCATTTTTAATACACATTTATACCTATTTTTTATTAAATGCAAGAAAGCATTAGGTAGAAGGCAACAAGTAATCTGTGCGGTATTCTTGGAGTTTGTTTACATTATGCTGTAAGATGATAAAATTTTTCAACACAAATGCAGTTAGCATCATACAACTCTGCAATCCACAGCTGCCACATCACAAGCCTTTTCAGACCAAGATCTTCACTAGCAATTGTGAGTGCTTAGCAGACTGGATTTTTGTTAGAAGTGAAATCACAGAGGATTGAGGAAACGCACACTTCAGCCAATCCTAAAAATGTGAAGCGTGCACAATTTCCCACACCATTGGGCTAACCTGCCATAGCGCTGGGCTGCTGACATGACCTTAATGCCAGCTTGTTCGAGTCTTCTTAACTTTCTGATCTCTTCTGCATCTTTCCTCTTGGGTGCTGACGTTTCTTTTGCACTACATGAGGGAGACTGGTCTATGGAGTTTCCTTCATTTTGATTCAAACCTACTTGATTTTTTATGGGGCTTGCCTCAGGAGCCATGGAGCCCGCTTTCTCCTTTTCACACTGTCCTGATGTTTCACTCTGTTCTTCTTCTATGGTTTCAGGGTGGCTTTTGCTATTGAATTATACAAGGTAGTTTAACATATGCTGTGCCTGAAACACATACACTTACTTATTATAAGCACATTTTGTTGATATCAAGATGCCAAAGGATATTCTGATGAATGATCTGGGATAACTATGCCCTTGAATGGCAGTTGCTTCTTAGGCCAAATCAAAAGTGAAATATCAGTTGACAAAACCAGCATGCAGAAAAGCATAGTCACAGCTACATAAACTGTACTGGTGTATAGAACACAACATACGAATAAATTTGTTATAAAAACCACAGCAAAAATATTACCTATTTTGATTTAATACCTCAAACATTACTTAGAAGTATCATTTGTCAATGAGTAACTGTCTTGAGAACCAAGACAGGTAATCCAGAACATTTTTGTCCAGCCTTGGGTTTGAGTAACATCCATGGTATTTATCTTAACAAACATCTTGTCAAACACAAGCTATATGTTGTATTGTAAGGTAAACAATGATGACATCAAGAAAATTATTTTCTACTCATTGCTCTTCTACCACCTTCACCAGTCGCTACAAACAATTTATCAGTACTATCTCTGCAAGACATTTATTACAGCAGAAGGCCATTCATGCATCTCATGAAAAGAATGAAAATCAGGCACGTGTTAACGCTTCACCACTGAGGAAGGGAGAAGTTGGACAAGCCAGTCTTACCTGAAAGGTCTGTCTCCTAGCGGTGAAGTCGCTGTGCTCCAGCTCTTTCGGTACTCTTCTCGTTCAGCTTTCTTTTTCCGAAGTGGAGCGGGTACATAGAAAGTCTGATTACTCTTGTTCGGGAGGTACTGGTTAAAAGGCACAGCTGATTTAGGTTCACCATGTGAGGTCCTCCTTGCCAACATATCATCTTTTTTCACATCTGGCATCTTTCTATGTGGCAGGTCAGTTTCTGAGTCACTTCCTCTCCCTAGTGAGGAAGGAGAAAAAAGTCCCTCTTTTCACTTCTATTTTTTTTTTTTTTTAGTTTAACTCAGAGAAGATACCACCAAAAAAGACATTCAGCATGTAAGCACCAAAAAATTAAGCCATTTTTACCTGTATTTATATTTTAAAATCAGTCACTGAAGATAGTAGCCCATAATATCTACACAGACAGTAAACGTTTTTTTCCATCAACCCTTATTTTCTACCCCTGAAAACCTCATCTTCAGCCATAGGTCACATCAGAAAACTCAGGGTCAGATTAAGCCAGACTTGTCAATCACACAGGACAACTACGGAAGCTTACCTGACTTATGCCCAAATGACTCCTAGTTGTACATACGGGTATGTTTGACCTGATCCACGCTCTTGAACCTAAACTTACATGTGCATAGCACAAGCTCAAGCAAAAAAGGGCTGCATGCTGTGTATTTACAAAATGGCAGGTATCTGTGGATGTTTCTACAGACATGTATTAACAGCACTTTGAATTCATACAGCTTCAGCTTTGATCAATATCTAATAAGCATCAGCTCCTATAAACCAGAAGACTCAGATGGTCTCTCTCCAGACTCAACGGTTGCCTGGTCAGTCTAGCACACTGCAAAACAGAGTGAGAGACTCAATCCTTAGATGGAAAAGGGCAAGGAGAGAGGGAAGGGATCTCAGGATTTAGAGGTTAGATCAGTACAGCAAAGACTGAAGAGTACTTATTGGGAAAGAAAAGAAATAAGGTGAGAGAAAAAATGAAGAGTTACAGAGACTAAGATGAGAGATCAACAGAGGTGAGTGACTACTATATTTTGTTCAAATGAACTAAGCTTCCTGATATTTACAACCCATTTAAAAACAAACATTCACAGAAACTTAGGCAGGACTTTTTGCAACTTGAAAACAAAACTCCCAAATGGTAGGACAAATACCTTAAAGAGCATTTGCAGTGGAACTGCTCTCATTGTCATTTTGGAAGCCACTTCATAGACATTCACTAGATTCCCTGCACTATCATGAGCCTGTTTAAGTAATTTGCAAAGAACCTATATAAATAGTTCTCCCAGCAGTGTAACATCACCACAGGCCCTGGTTTGAAGGGTGAAATGGAGCATATACAGCCACTTCTCCCACTGGCATTGAAACTCTCTCTCAGCTTTGGAGTGCTGGATCTCTCCGGCCCTTGGTCCCTTTGCAACATTTGCATGTGCAATAGCTGTTCTCCTCTTTGGGATGAGGGGAAGCCACCAGGTTGTGTCCTCTTGCTAATTCACCATGCTAGTGTATGAGCTAATTCACCGAGCTACCTAATGAACAACTGAAAACAATGAAGTCATAAAAATCACAAGTAGCTTGTGTATAAAGCTATATTCAAAGTGGGGGATAGAAAAGACGTCTAAATATGCTAGGAATGTTATTTGCAAAGAGCTTTTGCAGCAAATTGAGTTATTCAATGTTTGCTTGAAGAGAGATGAAGAGTGAAAGGGAACAGTAAGAAAAGACAAGACACAATGGAAATGAGCTAGTTAGACAAAAATCATAATGCACTTTTTGCCAGTAACCTCTTGCTCAAACAATTTGGATAACTAGCACTGTGACGGGTAACCTGAGTCTATGTCTAAATAAAAAGTGGAGACAATCGCAGAATCATGGGTGCCTGAGGACAGCTGAGGTTTGAAGAGCTGTAATATCACTAGACTGAGCAGGGTCACAGAGGAGCTAAAAGAAAATGAAAAGATCCCTTACTGTTATTTGCTATTCTGTTTGCTCTGGACTTTGTTCTGGTGTTTATTTTTGTATCACATGAAAACCAGTCTTGAACCAGCAGACAGAAATGCTGGAATAGATAATCACAGTAGCAGAGGAACTAGACCAGATTCCTTCTCCCTCATTACTGATGTGCCTACCAGCATCCCCAAGGTGAGTACTTCAAAGACAAACAGCTCTTTTAATTATTCATATTTTACTTGTGAAATTATTTTCAGCTCAAAATTTGCAAAAAAAGCACATGAAGCCAAAGCACTGAATGGAACATGCAGCTGTGCTCTACATTTATAACCTTAACTGTGTTGTTCTACATTTCCAAGTAGAAGCAGCAGCAGCCAGTTTCCACAACTCATAACAAGCAGTTATACACCAAGGATACACACAGATCCTTTGTACAAGTATCCATGCACAACTGTGGGTCAAGCAGAGGATTTTATTTGTTCCCAAGTATTTTAGTGAGTCTATGGGAAGGTCAGTCTGCAGTTCTACTGTGTTTTAAACAAACTGTTCTGCTCTATTACTGGTTTTGTTTGCATTTTGCCAAGGGACAGGGTCCGCATAGGACACCAGAGCAGTTCCTGAACAGTAAGGCTGATCACAGATGGCATCCTTGAAGGTGGTATTACTAAATGCTTCCCAAACTGATCATCACCTTAGAATCACTTAAATGATCTCCATTCATTTTTTTTCTAGTAGTGGAAAGAATCATAGTTTCATTTCGCTATTATATTATTTGGCTTATAAAGCTCCTATGTGAATGGAGAAAGAAGCAGTGCAAGCAGAACCCTTTTTTCCATAAAGCTTTGCAGATCCAGTATTTCTAAAACTATGTGCAGCTGAGTGAAACACTGGCCTGCTGGGGCCACTGGAAGATGTCAGACAAAAAGAGAGGTCAGCCAAGCTACACCTCACCTGCAACTCTTGGAGAAGAGAGCTGTGAAGTTATGGCACCAGCACGCTGGGAAAGTGGGACATATTAGAAAGGTCCGGCTGGACAAGTCATACATATGCACACAGCATCTGCAGGCACCTTGGGTCTGGATAGGATTAAAGACTAATTTTTAAGAACAAAATTTGTATGCTTGCATCTTATTTTGTCTTTGTTAGGGACTCAAGAATGTGACAAGACAGTATGTCTTAGCTGTGGCAGGTAAGCAAGCAAGCAATCACCCCACTAAATTCTGATTATTCAGGATAAGTTGATAGGAAGCAGCTACAGGACATGTGTACCTGGCTGCCCACCAGCTCCAATTCGGTAGGGACACCGGTCCCTCCTTCAGCACCCAGGACGGAGCAACACTTGATTAGGACATGTGAGGTGTGCCGCCACCACCACACTTTTGTGTCATTTGGAAAGGCAGAAAAGTGTTTTGTAATGTGAAAACTGTGCTCTGTTTGGTGTCTGAGGGGGCACGAGGCTGTTTCAGGGAATCAACCCTAGTAGCTGGTTCTGGATGGTCAACCAGCAACAGCCCCAATACCACAGAGGCCACTCAAAACAGCAGAGCAGATCTTAGCCCTGCTTTCCCCAGAGCTCTCTTTCGTAATTCAGCTCTGATACCAGCTCTCCCTGCCAGCTTTTTAGTTTTAAGGAGTTCCCTATCACCTCATGAAATCTCTCATGTGTCCAGTTATGATTAGCACCAGTTTCTCTCACACTGCCAAAAGCAGTATGAACATCTGGTTCCTACCAAAAAGTCTTCTGCCCTTCCTTTTTTTATTAAATAAATAACATTACTAAGGAGAAGTGATTCATGTGTGGAACATAATTTCATCTGATGATGAAGTTTGACTGATTCATCCATTCATCAGGAATGTAACCATGCAGAAGGAGCCTCAGTCGAGCATCCTTTTGTTCTGAACCCAAACCCTGCACACAATAGGTAACTTAAGTGCATGCTCCACACCTACCCCTAGCAAATCCTTCCTCATCCAGCACGCTGTGTTTACAAGCCTCTGGGAATCAGACAAGAAAGGCAGAGAAGCAGCATCCCTTCTGTAAGCCTAGAGCTGCATGTCCTCACTCAAAGGTGTACAAAGGTGGCCACAGCTCTTACACCAGGAGCTATTTACCCCATTTTCTAAATATCATAAGAACAAATATGACATTTGCTAAAATGTTATACATCAGACTTCAAAACTCTGTCAAGTATCAGACATTTCCAAGATATTTCTATGTCATTTATCTGCCCAGGGTTACTTAGGCAGCGTTTTATTCACTTCAGTATTTCCCTTGTTCCTGCACTTTTATTTCTTGCTCCAGCCTAGTTTGTAATGAGTCTGCATAACATCTTCTTACACTGTAACCCAGAAAAGCACTCTCCCCATCATAAAATTACACTGGAACGCTGTAACTCATTTTCCAACACTCCGCTACCCTAACTGAGACAGACTTCAAGTTGTTGGCAAAGTCATTTAAACCTCAGGGAGCACAAATCTGCATTCACAGAGAAGTTCTCCCACCAGATTAGCACAATTCAGAGGCTGCGTCCAGCTTCCAAATGTCACATTTGCTCCATAAATGTTACTTATATGTCACAACGTTATGCATGTGCTGCACTGTGACTGGTACTTACCATCACTGCTCCCTCTGAGCACTACATCTGGAGACGGTGTCTGCTGTGAGCGGGAGCCAAAGGAGTCCAGACTGTCAAAGGAATCATCTCTGCCGTGGCGAGGCGGGGAGAGGGAATCGCTGCGTTCAGAGTCCCAGCAGTCTATATAGCCGCTGTCACGAATGCTGCGCTTCGGGCTCTCAATATCCTCCGTTTCCTACATGGAAGTACAGCAGGTACCTCTTCATAAAGAAGCCACTCACATATCCATGAGATCCATTACACTCAGACAACAAAGCATCTTCCCAAATACTAAAAACCTCCTCCCCAAAAAAGGGTTTCCTTGTTTTCTACCCCTTCTCCCTTTCACAACAAAAGTGCAAGCTTGCGATAAACCCTGATTTTATGCCAATTAAGAGGAAACCCTCCTCATTAGATTAGTATGATGAGCTGAGAAAAAGTTGCAAGAGGCAAGTTAATAAACTGATCAAAAGTGAAAGTAACCTGAAACTTGACTTGTCGTCCATAGTCCATAGCACAAAGGCACTACAATTTTAACATTGTGCCTGCATCAGGTTTAAGTCTGTTGCATTCCAAAAGTTTCCCCCCCTCCCCTTGCCCATCTATTGTATCTGGCCGGGACACCAGCAGACAGCATTTGTTGTTGCTGCTTCAGCTCGGCAAAATAATGAAGCAGTGTGCCCCAGCCTCCCTCTACCTTGAAGAGAAATTCCTGTTATGAAAGAGGGATGTCTTTCTGAAGCAATCAGCAATGAAAAATATGCAAAATGCTTTTCCTGATGCCTCAGAAGAATTCAGTTGTGCTCTTTACTCTTTGCCAGCTCCTGGCTCTGGGGGATATGAAAGCACTTGTAGCTGACCCACATGTTCAGAGCAGGGAGAACAATGGTTGTCTTTGACAGCCCTGTGATTATAAATTCTTTCCAGTGCAAGCAGCACATACTAAAACACTGAAACTCCAGCAGAGGAAAAGGTCAATAGAAGCCATCCTCACCCTTGCATTATAATAAATCCCTTGTTTTAGAGAGCGTCTTAACATTAATTACAATCACACAGGCTGAGAAGAAACAAAAATAACTACTTTTATGCAAAGATAAATCTGTTTTTTTCTCCCCCAAAAGTAAGTAAAGTCAGAGATGTGGGTGCCATTATCAGATTGACATTTTGTGACCCAAAGTGGTTGGAATGTGATTTTTTTTCTTTTTCCTTTTTTCTCCCCCCAGAAGCGTTTGAATATTAATTCCTAATTAAGAAGCACCCCCTGCTTACCACTAGCTGGAGCACAATGGCTACGTTGAGCACAGCTCTCACTATCCTTGGCTGCTAAGGTTTTACCCGTTACTGCTATCGTCAATGAGAAGATCAATCAAGAACATCACAGTACGCTATGGTGGGCCACCTCCACAAGAAAGTGGGTTTGCTGTGGAAGTGATGGAGGGAGGAGAGCCCTGCAAGAGCACAGCAAAGCTGCCGCGCTGGAAAAGAGGAAGGCTTAAAGCGAGATGGGGAGATCAGACCCAACATCCTGCAGACTTTTCAGGAAGAAGGCTTAATTAGTGCCACTCACTATTATGCTGCCAAAATACCACATTAAGGGCAGCGGCAAAGGTCCCCTAAGGCCAAGCTAAACTGTGGCAATGTCAATAAGTAACCTCACTGCAAATTGAAGTGAAAGTATTTTCTACAAACAAATAAAATTCATCTAACAAAGTAGTAATTGGATCCTATGTAATTTCCTTCCCCTGTCCTGCTTAGTGAACTAAAATACTGCTAGAAACACAAGACAACAAAGATCTGTCTCCCTGAAATCTTCATGGGTTACACACATCCAAGAACAAATCTAAAAATCCTACCAAAGTCCCGTTTGTGACACGATCCAAAAAATCTTTCTAAAAATCCAAATTCCCTAAATCCCCTCATCCCTTCATACCAATCAGCTATTCTCAATCCTCAGGCACAGTTCCATTTTCCTAAATTACTGTATTTGAATGACACAGAACTTCTCAGCAGCTAGCTACAGGGACTTAAACTCAGGCAAAAAGCCCCATCCTGCATTCACTATCTCAGAGTTTGAAAACAGTCCAAATGTGAACTAATGAGTTCTGCAGACCCTATTTTCAAAGGCCTGTTGATGTTAATTTTGCATGCTGCTCACCAGGAATTAGGAGGCAGGCACCAGGATGGGATCCTAGACTTCTGTAAACATGTTCTTTACAGCCTTCCCCTTGGCAAAGCTACTCTCCCAGCCCAACGCTGTCTCACAGACGGGTATTTGTCCTGCTCTGAGCAAACGTCACCTCCCAAATGTTATCAATGGGAAAAAGAAAGTGGTTATCTGTGGGACTGATAACACCGTAACACGACACACAACAGCACATTAGTCTTTCATATTATGTAATTAAAAACACAGTATGTCACTGAGTGGTAGTAAAAGTGCGATTGCCAAATGTAAGATGTGTTTCTCCAGGAAGTTCCACCCACTAAATATAATCAAAAAGCCATGGACATTTTGTCATTAAGAATTTCCCATTTAAAGTAAAGAAGAATGTGTATCCAAACAGTTAATGAAATTAAAAACAGAGTAGCATGAATAAAATTAGAAATGAATAGCCCTTTCAGTATGGGAAGTAGGAAAAAGATGAGTCCGAGACAACTTACATCCAAGATGTCTTTTGATTTGCTTATTAAAAAAAAGGAGGACAGAGAGGATTTATAACAGAAAAACTAAAGCAGACTGAATTTGTGGTCAATTTAATTATTAAATTCTGTGGAAAAAAAATACCAGTAGAGAATGTGATAAAGTGTCTTTTCATCACTCAAGCTCAGCTATAAAGAACATCAGAGTGTTGCACAGCATGATTAACATGTTCTATTTTACAACCAAATCCTCTTCAAATTCAGTAACAGAAAAGCCCACAACTGCCAATGGGAAATACTGCAGGGGTACAGGAGTAGGGAGGTGACCTTGAAATAAGTTACCAGCGGCCCTCGTAATAGTACCACCTAAACAAGACTTTTCAGGACAGCAAAGTGCTCTGTTCTTACATTAAAGGAATACATAGCTTTCAGCTTTTATGAGATCTCTACTTTTCTCCCAGCTCCAACATCTGCAATAAATCAAGTCCCAGCCTCTTGCTTTTGCCCTTGACTTGCAGCACTCTGCACTGCCCAGCCAGGCACTCCACAATCATCAGCTCCCCACAGAATACTGCCTTTCGGCCCCAGCCTACTTCATCCCACAAAAGGGCTCAAGATGGGACCTCCAAAATGCTCTAATGTTTAGTTTGATAGGTAAACATCACCTGGAAAAAAGAGGAGCCTTATGCTTCAAGATTAAGCATTACAAAATAAACCATGATACCAAGCGGCACTAACATTATAACAACCCACACTTTGGCAATTTTTCTGCATTAGCTTCCTTATCTGTCTCTGTTTCACCTTTCAGACTCCTTGGAGTGGGGACTGCTCCTTTCCTGCATCTTCTGTTTGGAAACAACTCAAGTATTAACTTCATTTCTTTATTGCTTTGTCTCAGTCATATCAGTAAAGAGTGGCAAAGTCCCGAGAAATTAGCATAGGTCACTTCAAACGAAGACCAAAATAAACCTCTACAGAGAAGCAGGGTGTTCTCTCTTCCTCTCCATTTCTACCTGCTTGTTCACAGGAACTGGGCTTACAAACAGGGATTTTACCCATCTAGTTAAGGCTCTCCGGTCACACTAGGGTGTAGGAACTGCCATCAGTCAGCCAAGTGTTTCTTCCTCTCCAGTGGCAATCTGGTGCTGGCCCTCTGAGAACCCAGAATGAAGAGCTGCAGCTGGGGCAGATGCAGTAGCACAGAACTCAAGGACAGTAAAGAGCAAAGAGTCTCCCATGATCCCCAAACCCTACTGCCTGTGGTTACTTGGCCGTTACATGAGATGGGGAGGCAGTAGCAGACACGAAGCTCTCTGTGGGCTGGAGAACATATCTGCATGGTCTTTCATGAACAGTATGTCCAACACATGCAATGCTAGCACCAGATGCTGCCATCTTCTTACATGCCTGCTCCTTGCCCCTTCCATCCCCAATAAATGCATGCTTGGATATCAACGCTAACCACTACTGAGGCTAAGTGTCTCACATTGGGGTTCTGGGCATGCTGGAGCGCTCAACCAAAAGTCCCCAAACCACCATACAGCAATCACAACTTTTCCTTTCCAACAGAGCTCATCTCATCATAAACCACACAATATGATTTCAGCCAGAATTTAGAGCTTGGCAAAACACAGATGCATCATAACTATGCCCTTGATAAAACATAATCTCCTCCTTTTACCCTACAGCTTTATTTATATACTTTGGTTTGATGCTTTATGGTGCAACTTAAAAACAAAAGAGCTGCCCATAAGACTTAATGTTTTAAAGAAGAAAAATCTCTGTTCCTGTGAGTCCTGCCACATTACTTTCGAGTCTCAGCTCTTCTAGCTGAAACTCTGTGTCATAAATGAAAATAATTCAAACCAAAACCTATCGAAGTGAAGATGACAGAGCCATGTGACAATTCTAAAGTCCTGTTTGACATCACGTGCTGCATCATTGATATGGCCACAAAGCTGGCTGCCAAGGAAAGCTGTGTTCATGGCTTGGTAGAGTCAGGTTATTTATAGGAGTAATAATTGAAATTAAATTTCCATTCCCCAAATGTAACAAAAAGATACCTTTCTCATTTGTGCCAGCAAACCTTCAAACTCCTTCAGGTTCAGGGTTGATCCACTATATGATGTGCAGCTGTTTGCCGCTTTCCCTAGCCAATAAATGGTGACTAATACCTGCAGAAGTTAATAAGAATTAATTGAAGATATCTACACAGTCACTTAGCTAAATTTACTTCCCTTCAGCATCTCTCATTTATTCTAAACTGCACAGCAGCAGAAGATTTTGTTATAAATCAGAATTGAAAGGGAAGCGTCTGTCAGTGGTTAAACATAAATACATCAGGCAACTATGAAAATTTAAACAGTCCTACAGAATACGTAACTTAAACACATTATCTTCCTAGTATTTTTACAAAAAATGAAACTGTCATGTCTGCCTGCAAAATAAACAGTAAGAAATAAACCTGAATAGACGAACTAGGCAAGATATTTGAAACTGTCTAGAAGATACTTATAAAAATGCATGTTTGTAAATCCAATAGGAAAAAAAAAAAAATCCCTAAAGAGTACTAATACTAGTGGTCATGAATTCAAACTGTTAAGACTAATGGCATAAATAAAACATCCGGAATGTGTGCCTGCCTATCTCAAGGACAGGAAAGGTAGTTCCATTTCTAATCATCTTAATATAATTAACCAGATGACACGTGAACATTTACTTCCAGGCTTCTGCTAGCTTAAGAAATGCTTAGCCCAAGATTAATCAAAAGCCATGAGCTTCTAGCTGTTTCTATCAGACTAAAGTGGAAAGAGTTAGTGGTTTCATTCAAGTTCTGGCTTGATGTCTCTCCGTAACTCAAAAGTCACTTCAAAACTAGTACAGATAAAAAGTAAAAAATTGCTCTTGCAAATGTTTATATACCCTTTCACTTCTTTAGGTAGCAAAGGAGTCTGATCTGACACTGTTAGGGCTGCACTGTTTTAGGAAAGGAGAAATTAAGATGCTCAGGATGGTCAAATGAATACCTCCAAACCCACTGATATTTATATCATGCACAGAAAGCAAACAGTCCTTCTCTGCACCCACATATGTCTCCACTTAAAGTAATGTCTTTAATGGTACCTGTGCAGCAGTAATTTGGACTGGAAACTGATCATCAAAGGCAGTTCAGTTCAGTGTTTTGCACTGGTTAAAAATGCCAAACCATCACCTCAGAACTTAGGGCTTTTTCTCATTTAGTGCTCATTATTTCTGCCTATTCTGTGACATTGCGAAGTATTTAACTGCAGAACAACAGGAAATATTTTGATGTGGAAAAGATGTGCAACCAATAATAAATAATAGTTGCCATAAACGGTCTCAAAAAAGTTAAATAAACTCAAATACAGTATTTTATGTTTTGATGGGACAGGGCCATATAATTCATATTATATAGAGGAGAAAATAGGACTAGGAGAAATCCCAAGGGGATTGACATCTGTCAATCTGTCTGTTGAGGGCAGACATCTCTGTCAGACTCTTCTTCCCTAAAGGATGCGCCCATATTCCTTCAGTGCTTCCTCCTCAGTCACATATGCTGGAATTCTGATTAGCCTTTTCTCATCAACTTTCTCTAACATTCCCATCTTTCATTTGTGTGTGATGTGCAAAATCACACACAGAACTCCAGCTGAGGCCCTGCCAGAAAAGAGTATAGTATGTGTCATACAGATCCGCTGTTTAAAGACAGAAACACAACTGTGGGACATAATGTAAATAATATACATGGCATGAAATAATCAAATAACATTTTTAATAACATTCAAAAATTTTCCCCTCATTTTTAAAATTACATCCAAATTAACACTACTGTGCAGAGGGAAAGGAGGTGGTTTTGCCAACACTGATTGTTTTTATCTTGAAAAAAACCTCTATCTGAACTGTTTTCCTTCAACCAGCACTACTCAACAAATTTATGTAAAAAATTCTTGCAGTACGTGTTCTCAAGTTAAGTGAAAACACTTGCAAATATAGTACTCCTAGCAACCAGGAAACTGTCCAATTCATTTTGCCATTCAGTTCTCTGATGAAGGTTGTGGTATTTTTATTTATTTCTGCTAGCATTTGATCACTTTCTTCTTCCTTTCTTTATCCACTTTTTTTTTCTTCCCCAAATAACATCACATTTGCAAGCAATTCTGACTGGCTGCCAGCCGAGGTTGCAGGATCATGCACGTGGAAAGTATATATTGCCTACAAGCACATTGTGGAGGACTTTACCTTTAAAACAATACATCTGTACAAATATAATTAGCCAGTGCCCACAAGGGTGCTAAAATGCCAAAGCTGAACTCCTCCCCTACAACTCTGTGTGCTGGATGCAGAAGATATTACTCTAATGATGATGGGAAAGACAGGATGAAATAATTTGGGTGGTTTTTTTTTTTGTGTATGTGTTCTTGGTTTTTTTATTTATTTTTACCTGTAGTCATGATTATTGGCTTGCAAACTTATTAGCAAAAGGTCTTGGCATTTCTTAGCAGTTTACAGGGATTTAAGCCAAATATAAATTGAATTTATAGCAGTTTACAGCTGACTAAGGACAGACAAGTTTGCTAGGCTTTAGGAGAATAACTAACTCAGAGACCAGCAAAGTTTAGCCATTTTCTTTTCCACTTAACAATTACAAGATCCATTACCATTGCCATTAGTTTAAATCAATAAGAAATTAAAGTTAGATGGAATTAGCCTTTCTGGGAAAACACTCATTTGGAAGAACAATGAGAAAGCTGGAAATCTGACAGTAAAGACTTGGATCCAGATCTAATGATCATTTTGCTTCATTTTAAACTCTTTGTGCAAATTTACTTGATGCCTATGTATTTATGAAAGGCCACAAAAGCATAGCTTCATAGGTGAGTCAGACCATTTCCAGTGAAAACCACAAGGGACAGCACAGAGATCACAATATTTATTCCTTATCTAAGCAGAAACAAACATTCTCCATTTTATTTCTATTGTAAGGATGCTTCACCATAACAGCTCTACCTAAATTTCCAGTAGAACCTGATTAGGTTTGTGTTCAGAAGAACTCTTCAGCGATACAAATCTGTACTCAGTTTTTACTGACATAATTCTTGCTCAGGCCAAATAGAGGATTAACCAGAGGAAAAAAAACCACCAAAACCAACCCAAAAAACTTCAAGTCATGTACTTACATTTTTCAGCTTCCTACTATAGTCAGTGTTCCTGGTTGCACACACACACACACAAAAAAAGGAAAAAATAATCAGAAAACAGACAAACTTTCCAGGAGCGTGTATGCAGCAGATCACGTTTTCCCTAACAAAAGCCTGCAGAATGCTTCTGCTGGCTGGAAACACATGAAAGCTAAGAAGATGTAGTTCACACATTCATTTATTCATAACGTGGGAGTATTTTGTCACCATTACTTCAATCATTAAATTAGAATTCTGGAAGTACAAAAGAAAATGTGTTTATAATGGTCCTACAGTAAAGTAGGACAGTGCCAAAAATATTTCCTTTAAACTGAGTTGCTGATTTGTTCAAAAGAAGACCAAAGTCCTCACTGCTTAAAACACATTCTGCAGGAATTCAATAGTCAGATCCTGCTTTGTGATAAATCATGCAACCCACATAGATTCTGGAAACAACTGAACATGCATAGGAGACTGAGGAAACCACCACCGAACATTAAGGAAATAGAGCAGGTGCTTCTGCAGGAACGAGCATCACAAAGAACAAAGTGGATGGGTGACGCAACAAAAATCCTGCCAGTTACAACAGAACCTGGTGTCGAAAACATTCTGTTTTTGAATGTATGTTCGAGCACTCAGACTGAACTTTGGCATCCTTCTCAATTTATTTTTTCCACCAATGTTCATCAAAAAGGGTGGAAGTTTTATGTTACAAACAACTAAGCACAAAGTTTGTGCAAACATAAACATTTCAAATTTCAGCAAAGAAACCATTAAAAAAGAATGAAGGAAATGTGCATCACATTGAGGTGTTGAAAAATAAAAAAAGACTACTTCAGATTTAGTACAGATTGTCTCCTCATTATTTATAACAGAATTGTCTCCTACTATAACAGTAAGTCCACACCAGCATTAAAGGTTACCTGATAAAACCAGAAATAAATGTATTTAAATCTATGAGAACAACAAAAGCCTAAATATAGGCAATAATAAACCAAAGTATTTTTGATAACATCTTTTTCAGCCAAGATTTTTATCCACCAATACCTAAATACAAGAAAAATGAAACAGTCCTATTTTTTTTCTTAATAAAATAGCAGTGGAAAAGAGTCTTGTTTAAAAAGTCAAGAAGAAATTCTTTACAGCATTAGCTCATAACTTTTATAAGGTGAATGCTCCAAAGAAAATAGATCTAATGTGTACTTCAATTAACATCTATATGAAGAAACGTGGTTAAAAATGTCATTATCTTAATCATTTGCAATAATGTCATATTCATCCTTTACCACAGAACAAATACGATTTTTACCATGTATAAAAAATAACCCAAAAGTCTTCAAAGGCGGGGGGGGGGGGGGAACATCCACTTCTGGGGGGGAAATCACCTTCATGCTTTGGGAACTAGCGAGCAGAAGACAGTCATGAACATATTTCTCTACAACAGTCAGACTTGGCTTGTACACCTCAACTCAGTTACTCAGCGTGAACTTGGACAGTGCTAGGAAAACATTTGGCTCGTTTCCATAGCTGCTTTCTTTGAAGAGTTGACAGGGGAAGAAAATCCATGCCAGTGAGACACTTCACATGATCTAGCATCATATTCAGTGGAGGGCCAAGCCAGCTCTGCGGAGTTTATTACTCCTGGTTTAACTTGCTTATGTGCTGGACAGCTCTCCTTGGAGCGCCATGCCTCTCAGCCCATCTCCTCCGAGATGATCCACGATCCTCAATCTCAAAAGATCAAGCTTCTTATCAGAAAGACACTTTCTCTCTGGTTTTAAATGGAGATTAGGGTTTTACATGGAGATTAAGGACTGTTTTGCAACTCATTATCATGATTTTACAGGACGTCCTGAAGAACCTCTTTCATTGCAACATTACCAGATTTAGCAGAAATACGTTACATAGCCCCCTCTCACTGATATGTACAAGTGAAAAGAAGTCATATTAGAGCCAGAAACTTCAAAAGGAGCAAAAAAGTAGACTTTTCCTTACAACAAGGGAAGTGGCCAATTAAATTTTCTGAATCTTTGAATTTTCCCAGACAGTGCTTGAACACCATGAAAATTTGCCCAGCTTCCACTGCCAGAAGGGAAAAAAAATAGAATGCTGCTGAAATTTAGTAAATTGTTTCCATATACTTTTCTAAAATGGGTATGTCTGACCAGGATTTCATTTGCGATCTTTTGGGCCAAATGAAACACGGCCATTCAATCAACTCAGCAGTACTTGCTTGTCTGTACAGCAATAACTTTTTAATATTACACATGAGACACCCAAAAATTTCAGGAAGACTTCTAAATAACACCAATTATAAATTTTGTTAATTTTATGGAAACGTGGGGTGCTCTTGCTTTTAGGGTGTGGGGAGCTTGGTTGCCATTAATATAAATGAGAGAAAAATACAGTTTGACTCCTTCTGTTCCTCTAGTCCATGATGACAAAGTCTCCCCTGAAAGGGACAGCAGTTCCTACTTAAGACCTCAATCTATGATTATTTGGACTTTGATTCAAGCCTGCTCTGTGTGACCTTAGGCAACTCAGTAATTCTTTCTGTGCCAGTTTCACATCTGTATTTTAAATCACTTTGTGGAGTGAAATGCTGAAAATACAAACATTAAAGTCTAAGCACCTAGTACTCTTTACAGTGATGGATGTGCACATACCATGGCTACAAAGCTGTTGATTAAAAGGAGATTTTTAAAGAAATCACTTCACCTCTCCAAAAACATGAATTAGGTATTAGGAAAGAGAACTTTTTAATACACGTGTGGTAATTTCTGTGGTAGGAGGTGTGTGGCTTTGGTGAAAAAGTATCTAAACTGTGGCACTTGCAGTCCACACAGTTCACACAGACATCCTCAGCCCAAATATCATGGCTCAACCTATAGTTCTTGTTAGAAAATAAATGGACCATGCTCATGTCTGCAGCCTGTAGAGTCTGAGAGGCCTATAAATGTCCTATAATGCATCTTCAAAACAGTTTAATCTGAAATAACAGAGCTGTGATTTTTTTCCCCGGCCTACATAGTTCATTAGTTGGACAGACAAAAAAGAATGCCATCAATTTAGACTCAGGAAAACCCCTAATTCCCACAGAACCTCATTGCTTAACTAAACCAGTATTTTAAAAGAGCTGTGGTTGATCTCTCTGGGAAAAATAACAGAAAGCCTGCTGAAGGGAACAATGTATTCTCCCCAGCGCTGAAGGTTTCCCAAACCTCAGCTTCCTATTTGCTTTATACAAATGACAGTTCTATACCCTCTCTGCTCATCCTTAAATACTTATTACTGCATCACATGCATCCGAGGTTGTAACATGCTAGTCTGAAACTGCTGTTGTACTTACTTGATGGTTACTCTGTTTGATGTGTCCTGCAGATCACCAGGATCAAAAAGCTGAGATTCTTTAAGCCCCAGCTCTTTGCAGCCTCTCAAGAATAAGATGACATTATCCTGAAATGAGGGGGAAAAAAAAAAAAAAACAAACAAGGAAAACTTTTACTTCTTCACTGAAAAAAATAATCCTACCAAACCAACCTCTCCTTAACTCAGTAACAGGTCATGAGCCATCATATCATTAGCTAAATGAAGAACCAAAGACATTCCAGTCACATAATTTAAGAAGTCAGTATACGTTTTGTTTGAAAACCAGATAAACATGAAGCAAACTTCCTCCCCACCCCCAGTACATAACTGCAACAAAATTTGTTGACTTTTCTCTTTCCAAACCCAGATGTCGGCAACTTCTTTAACCGAAAAAGTCCTGCTGATTTGCCCACCTACTGCTGTAGGCTGCCAAGACAGCTTCAGCATGTTATGGGACAGGAAAGAAAAGGTTGCATTTCTGAAGAGAGGAGGAAGGGCCAACATCAGACAGCCCACCACCATTTAAGCAAGCAGTTTGTTCAGGAAACGTTTTGTACGTCAATACAAAACAAGCCAGTTACTCCTAGTTAACACAACTGGTCTATTGCCTTTCTAACTCTGACCAGCCAGAAGCCATTGGGAGAAGAGGTAGGTACCTTCTTCCCAAATAAAATGCTTGAAGCTACACTTTACATAAGCACTGTCTGTAAGAAGAAATACCAACTTTGTAACACTTTTTATGGAGGATTTACACTTTCCAGAGTGTAAAGAATAAAAATCAGTAACTAAGATTAAGCACAAACTCATATAAGCCTCTATCAAACCAAATACAAGTAATGTAACATGGGCTTGCACTGAGGGAATAAAATTTGTGTGTGTGCATATACATTTAATATATGTTTTATACTTACTTACACATATGCATATATGTGTTTTTAGATATATATGCTGCTAGATCAGCAGCTGTAATGACAGATGTATGGACAAGTAAAGAAATAACGTGCAGCTTGATATTCTCTGAGGCCTCTCACCTCAAATGTCCAACTGGAGGTGACCTACCACGTGAAGAGTTAGAGAGGGACAGAGCCACATCGTGCGACAGAGACCTCCATTTTTGGAAAACCTGGGAAGCAGAGGAGCTGGGACAGCGTTCACCTCCTGCCCACCCTGCGCATCAGAGCAGGATTCACAAGCCTCCCAGGCCTTTGTTTGGGTGGCACAGCCAGAGCTCGGCGAGAGCAGCCCTGTTTGCTCTGCTGGGGCGCAGCAATCAGCATGCTAATCGCCGCGGCTCTCTGCATGCCAATGCTCTCACACACAAAGCTCGCTGTCACCAGCCACACCGCAAAAAAATACGGACTTGGAAATTTAGAGGAGTCCAAATCTCCCTTTCTTCCCTGGCTGAAACTTAACAGCTCTGGAGGGGAGCCAGCAGAAAGGAACAGCAGTTGAGAGAGCAGAGAGCCCACAGCCCAGAGAGACAGCATCATTCATGACATGAAAAGATGCTTGTAAAATTCCCCGTCTGGCTTAGTTTGCATTATAATTTTTCCAACTGTATCATGAATAACTCTTGTGTTTAGCCTTTGATGGAGGACAGTTCTGGTCACTTCCAAAGGGTGGGTGGAGCAATGTGTGAATCTAATAAAAATCCAAAAGCATTTTAAAAAAAGTTCCTAACAATATTTCCTAACAAAAATATACAGGACATACAGACCATAGTAACTTAATAGGTTTAGAAAAAAATCAAAGGAGGAGGATAACTAATTGCACCCATCTTTATGCCAAAAGTTCACATCCAAGTTATGATAAGCAGTTACAAAAATATCAGCCGTTTGGCAGCCATGTAGTTTGGAAACTCGGTTCTTCTGTTGATGAACAAATGCCCACTTCTCAAAAAAAACCCCCCAAAACAGTGCCACAATCCTATGCCTGTTTTCATACATGCTTTTATTTTGATGATCATAAAAATAACATTTGCCAACAGTCACTAACACCATCACCCAAACAATTCCTCAGAAAGTTGGTATCTTGGATGGGCACAACGCATGCCAACAAGATGCAATCAGCAAGCACTGAAAGAAGCTTTTGCTTTTGTTAACAATCTCATAGTTTTTATTTCCCAATGGTCTTAAATACGGCAATTTTTAAAAAAGGATTAAAAAAACACTCCAAAAAACAAACAAATTGTATTCATGTGACAGGTACTCGGGTAAACCTCCCTAGGCTGCTTATCCCCAAGCCAAAATGTATCTCATACTACTGCAAAACTGAACTTTTCCTGGTTTGCTCTAGGAAATGTGCTTACTTGAAATTCATATTTGTTACTTCTATGAAGACACTGGAGAACACTCCTAGGCCACTAAAAGGAGAAAGGAGTCTTATAATTGAGACCCAGCTCTCAGCAGAGCTTTCTCTCAGGATTACTACAGCTTGCATTGGTCAAGTCCTGGTTTCTTCAGTTCTCAGAAAATTTTGCTTTCATGTTTTGAGAAAAATTATAGTTCCATATCTGTTCACTGCAACTACTCATTTTTGTAGTCACCTATTCTAAAATACCACATTTTTGTTGCTGTTGAACAAAAAAAAAAGTTTACAAGCAGCAATGTATATAACACGTCCTTACTTTAAATAAGTGACTGAAAACACACACCTAACATGCATGTCCACCTCCTTACAACTTGGCAGATTTAAATAGGTCACGCAAATGGGTCACACTGCAATGGCAAGGATCGCAGCGCGGCCAGCTGCTGTGCCTCAGTTAACAGGGCGGTAGACAGATGACCAGAATTCGGTCCCTCTGGCAGCCTCTGCAAGGCACTAACATACTATTTCCTCAATACATTAAATGGAGTCGACACTCCCTTTCTCTGAGCAATTACTCGCTGCAGTCACAGAGTTGGAGTTGACGGAGGATGCGTGGCTTAGTTGGCACATCACTTCCTACAGCACCCAGAGGACCTGCAACTGTCTCCTGCTGGCTCCTCTTGGTTTTAGTCCACACCACTATTCAGTCAGAAATCTTCTTTTGGCTTTTCTCCTCTATACACCCAGAGGAAGAGCGAGCTTACAGGTTACAGTCTACATTTCTTCTGCAAATTTTACCTATTATCCATAGAATTTTATCTTTTATATATATTTACATGTTATATATATTTACATATCCATACAAATATTTATTATTTTATATATTTATAATAGATAAACCTATAATCTAGAGATACCTATAAAATTTTATCTATAAAAGGACATAAACTCTAAACAGGCTGCTTGCAGAAGATAAATACTTCAGTGTGGTGACAGACAGAGGACACCAGCACAAGATACACAGATAGGTTAAACCGCAACTCTTTTCTGCTTGCCTAAGCAGAGTCCTGACAGTTACTATTAGAGTAGCACTATAAGCAATGTCATTTACTTGTAAGTATTAGAAATGCAAAAGTTATTAACGTAAACGTTTTGCTACACTGAATTTTGGAACAGAAAAATTAACTAACACACAAAGCATCACAAACCGCCAGGCAAAGCCAGCCACAACCCAGCAAGAAGGGCTGGGGAGCTGCAGGGAAGGATGAACAGGAGCATGGGGCACTGACTCCCTGAGTCAGAGGATGCATGGGAAGGAAAGGACTGTAAAGATGCTCCTGCTCTCACACCTGCATTTCAACACCATCGCCTTTTCATCTTTTCTGGTGTGTAACCTGCACAACTCGCTTCTACAAAATCACTTAGCCAGGACAACGACCTGCAGGTAATGCAGAGAGAATGGGAGGCAGAGGGATTACACCTCCGTGAAGGTGGAAGAAGGGAGGAAGAAATAATACGCTGCTCACTTGTAATAATTTTTTTTTTGCTGTTTTTAAAAGACAAAAACCCCATGTGCTATAATTATGAGAAAATATTTCAACCCAAAACACCCCCCCCCCCCCAAAAAAAAGAAATTGGCAGTTGTGTAAGACAGACACCCTGGAAAGCCACCGCAAATTCACACAGTAGCACTGCCAACACACAAGATAGTTCAAGCTAGCGAGAATCAAATATTCACAGCAGGCAAATTCTCTCCATAGGATCTGCTGATCAGATGCAATGGCAAACAGCTTGAATTTGGCCCACTTCCATTCCTTTCATCTGCCACAATAGTATACAAAATATTCTCACTGTATTGACACTGCAAATCGGACCTGCAGCTTATCACTGTGGAACCATCATTTGTCAGATGTGCTACTACATGGCCTGGATGAGATACACAGATAAACGCGGGGAAAACAAAAGTAAGCCAAACTGTATGTCTGCACAGAACACTGAATAAAATGCCAAGCGCATGCCACTTCTGCAAGATGGAGATATTATTAGCTGCCAGTAGCACCACGCTGTTTTGCAGGACAGCTGCAGACAAACAGGTGGCCTTTTTAACTTCTGGAATACTGAAATTTTCCCTGTTCCACAATAAATTGTAAGATCTCTAAATATATATGTATTTCCAAACTGCTTTTCTGAGCAATTTCTGATAGAGACTCTTAAAAGCTATTTGTTTACTCTCAACGTTTCTTCCTAATTCCCTCATTTTTCCATTTTATATAAATAATTAGTAGTGCTAATGTAGTTATATAAAAGCAATGGATCTGGACTGATTCATAAGCTGACAGAAAGGAAACACTGAAATATTCAGTTCAAGTCCACCAGGAAAGAACTTTCATGAGACAGGCTGAGAACTTTTCATATTTTCATATACATATATGCACACACATATGTTTTGCTATTCATCCAGCATGCTTTGCTGTATATGTTTTACTATATAGATGTTTCAATGTTTATACAGTGTGCTTTATTGTATGTACAGTAAAACTACACTTTCACAAAGCATTGTTCTATGTGACAGATTCCGAGTCAACAGAATCATAGTCATTTGGGTTGGAAGAGACCAGGTTTGGAAGCAACGTGATCGTACTCAGACACGTTCACTGCGACACTTAGGATGCTCACCCTCCAGGAGATGAAGGATGGCAGCACAGCAGGACCGAAGGCAAGCCCCACCAGAGCAGTCAGAGCAGACAAGGCTGCGTACACCCCAAAAGGATTCTGGCACA